TTGTTCTTATTGGAAAGCAATCTGTTAAAAGGTATTGTAAAGCAAATGCTATGAGATGCGCACTTAAGAAAGTAATAAAGAGTTTTGGAATATGTATTATTGAAATGAAGGGTAAAAAAAAATCTGATAAGTATAATTAAAAGAATTATTCCCCTTACATTTTATAATAACTCAGTTACAAATTTTAAATAATACTTCAAAAAAAAACTTATTTTATTCCCTTTCAGAAATGTTCAGAGTCATTTGTCAAGTACTATTTAAAGTATTTCGCTAATTCCTAATAATTCTCTAATTTAAAATGAACCGAATAGAGCATTAATTATAAATTGACTTACATTTTTCGATTTAAAAGATGCCTCAGAAGCCAAAAAATCATGTCATATTAAAAGAAAGTACTTTAGGAAGAAGCTCTATAATAGAAAAGAAATAATGCATAATTTTAATATTAATAATACAATAAACTTTGATCTTAATTTTTGTACCTTAACCGAATAAAATCGAATTACCTTATTTTTTTATTTCTAATGTAATTAACGAAAATGTGTGAAAATATTTCATTCAAATTAAACCATTTTGAGAAAACTGTTCTGCGAAAAGTATAGCATTTAATTCCGTTCAGAATGAAATGTTGTTTAAAAATATGTTGTTTCCACATACTTAGGACTCTGAAGTGTTGTAGAAAAGAAAATATATACATTTATATGTATATTTACGACGTAATTACAAAATATTTACAGCCGAACGCGTCAAATCCCATTGAACTCAATGGTAAATGACCCAATGTTTTGGTCACCACGTAGGGATCGCCGGCGCTTCAAAGCAGGGTACGGGAGAAACTTGTTTAGGGCAACTCCATCTTACTTCCTACCTCCATGATACAACCGTGTCTTTTCCTGCATCTGTACTTCAACCTTCTCCGGCAACAACTTATACAAAAACCAACAGATGGAGCCACCATATCCTGACCAAGCATCTTTAACTTAAGAATTTTTCCATTTTAAACTTACTAAAATGGATCTATTTCACCATTATGACGTACCCCGTAGGGTAAATAACTGCTGAGTCAAAGTCCTAAGGACTAAATACTTATTGATACTTCATGCCAATTCATGAATGCATCTGGATCCATCTTAGTTCCCCTCAAAGCCATGTCCTTCGGGAAGTCTCTTCTGTGTCTCTCTCCTCTCTGGGAAGTACTGCTTTAAGCAATACAAACCCAGCAAACCATCTTAGTATCTTAGTATATCTTCGTTTCGTTCGTCGCTTTGCCTAATTTTATGCCTATATAGATTTTCAGTGATATTTTTCGTAAACAAATGATACCGTCCATCTTCTGCAGATTTTGCTTTTATCCTTGCTCTTATTTTGCATAACAAATTATTTTGCATAATGTCTATACAATTAAGTTTGAGGAGCCACGGTATCATCGCAGAATAATTTGCTTCTGATGATAAGAGATTGAATCGTTAGAAATCACGAAATGCATTAAGTTTTTCATAGAAATCAGCACTAAATAAAGTTTACAATTCACATGTTAGTTCATGTACATGTTGTCATTCTTCTCTGGCATCAGTCAGTAATGACGAATTTTGCAGCAACGATTTTAACGTTATAGTTGTTTTGATAATGTCCTTTCTAGCTTGAATTTAGCTTAAATACATTCAGTTCCGTAAGTTAATTGAGTATGAGAAAATTCAATAAACATCAAGGAAGGCGTTAATGACACTGTTTCCCGTAAGCCGTTTGTATAACAGGGTTTCTTACAGAAAAATACTAAACCAATGAATTCAGCTGGGAGTTCATTGGGCAGAAGCTGGAGCATGTGACTAAGGAATTACTTTTGATTTGCTTTAGAAATTCACAATCTGTTGAATGTTATTAGAACAAATATTTGGAATTATGAAACATCTCGCTGTATCAATTTTAGTTTAAAACAACATTCAAAAACTTTTAAATTTTATTTTCACTTTTAGTTTTAATTATTATTGTTCTGAGAGTTTTCTTAAAGCATTTATATTAAACGTGACTTAACGTTTGGAATTTTTGAATGATGTGAAAATTTGAGCTACATTTTCGATTTTAAAAGAACTTATTAATAACTAACTGACTATCTGAACTTCTTTCTTTCGCATAATTAGCTGTGGACCGATAAAAATACATGTATATACTTATATTGCTGTGAGAATAAGATGGCCTTACATAAGATACGGCCTTGAATTTTTAAAAGTTCTATGCCAAGACAAACTAGGGCTTGTGACTATCTAGGCACTAGCGACTGTAGCTGTCTGTGCCAAGACAAACTACGACTTGTGTGAATATATGAACTTTGTACATTGGTGGTATTCTTCAAGAAAAGTTAATTAAGTGCCGCAAATATTACCGTGTAACATTGAGCTAAGTGATTTCTGTTTGTTTAAACGTAAAAGTTAAGGTAAATAATATAAAAAAAATCTGGTGTGTACACCACATGACTTCCTTGTATGGAATATTAAATTATACGCATTTCTTCTTGCATTTTATTTAAACTTATTATGAATTAAACCTACTTCGCCGACAGCGCATAAACCACAATAGAATAAATGCATTCTTTAAAATTCACTTTGTTTACCATAGCGACACTCTGGCGCTAGGTTTACTTAACAGTATTATATTTCGTTCATATTTTAACTCAGAATGCACAAAATGTATATAATTTAAAGAATTATCTAATCGTTGCCACATGTTCTATTCAAATACTATAATAAAGCTAGAACTATGTATAAAAGAAATTAAGCAAACAAAACAAAACAGAAACAGTTTTTCACAGACGATTGAGTATTTCTCATTTATTTAATTCAGTTCTCACTTCGAGAGAAGGCAAAAATACATTAAAACTAAAAATATCTATATTAATAATTACGAAGTAAATCTCAAACGCTTATTTCCTCGAAAAAATTCCAGAAAGAATTAAGCATGATTTAATTGGCAATAATAAATGAATGCGTTATCTTTGTTGTTGCGAAGCTAAGTTTCTCTAGATTGGCAACAAAACAACTAGTCTCCTGTTTCAAATGTAAACACCAATGGCCGCCATTAAAAACAGGCTTAGCGGCAATTAAACAACTTTAAAATTGCTGATAATTCTAAAAATATTGCACACAGATTTACTAAAGGCATAAAATCCTTAACCGGAAGATAAAAACAACATAATTCAACCATTTTTAAAGCAAAAAATGTACAATTTACAAACATATACGAGTAAAGAGACTGAGATCACTGAACCGGGTAACAGAGTGGATATATATATAAATATATTTATATACGTTTGGTGCGGCCGATTGCAACCAAAATACGAGGTGCACATCTACATGTTATAGCAGTCCTATATACAAAATTTCAACGTTCTGAGACTACTCGTTTTTGAGTTATGCGAGATACGTACGTACGCACGAACGTACGCACGTACGTACTTACGTTCGTACAGACGCCACGAAAAATTCTGTTCAGATTTAATTTTAAAGCAGTTTTATAATTTTTTTGAAGGAAAAGAGTATTTTATTCAGTCCTTACGTACAGATATGACACAAAACAGCGTTAAATTGCATTCGATAGCCGTCAAAATGGATATTTTCGTTGAAATATGCTGCCTGAAACTTTTCGCTATTACAATACTTCCTTTTTACTTCGTACAAGGAAGTAAAAATAGTGTCTGAAAGCTTTCAGATTTTATATTACACACAAACAGGCGTTCTTTTTTTCTCATTTACTGACACATACACGTTTCGAGAGCATATTTTTGCTCCCAACGCCTAATTTTGCTAAAAATATTTTGAAAACAGCATATCTGTAGTGTTTCTGATACACAGTCTCGTTCGCTGGAGATAAAAATGGTTTATTCCCTATAGTGTTGCCACTGCTCGCTTTGAAATTGTTGAGTTTTTTAATCAAAAATTCGTTAACGTTGTACAAAATATGAAATAGACTATAAAACAAATTTGAAGTTCCAGATTCAGACTTCCAGGTGCCCACATTCGGGTGGAGATGTTATTCAAAATTTCATTACTCTATTTATTGTTGTTATTCAAAATTTTATTACTCTATTTATTGTTGTTTTTCACAATGACAGTGTATGAGAGATACATGCATACATTTTCGTAGAGACTTCACTATTTAGTTTCTTTAAATTTAACTGGGCGATAATATTTGGTGGCAACAATTTGAAAAGTAATTCTAACCTTTAAAGTGATTCAGCCCAAATGCCGTTTTAAGATGAATATCCTGTCTGGATTATAATTGTCTCCCGTTCCTTATCCTTTTATGGATTATAATTTGGGATAATAATAAGTAACTTTAATATGTTTTTTAAATACCAAGTTGCGCATATAAGGCTTATATTAGCTTTCAGAGGTGCCTTCTTAGGAAAACATCGTCTTCCTTTTATTCGAGTCAATATGTTATAAATACTTTGTCGTTGGTAAGTCTGAAATATGTGAATGAGCTAAAACTATGCAAGTTGGGCGTTTCTATAATCATAGATTACTAATTAAAATGGACCAGATATTAAGAAACATTAAAAAAAGGTTTCGTTTTGAATATGAAAAGGCTGTAATTGGGACTGGAGCTCAGGTGTATCGTTGTTCGTGAACACGTTGAACTTTACAGTTAAGTTATCCAGAGTCAAAATTTCTTACACCTCAACGGGTTGGCTGTTTGAATCTCTGGACGTTATTGGATCTTCTTCGGAGCAACATTTTAGTCAGATTTTATTCTTACTAAAATGTTGCTAAAAACTTTTTAATGCGTTTAATATATCTGCTATCTTGTCCTGTCTGTAACTAGCTGTGCAACTAACATATTCTTAATATACCATAAGGATGAATGTGCTAAAAACGTGAAATGCGTTTTTAGGTTCCACCAAAACCAAGCTTTGTTACAGTACTTTTGTCTTTTACTTAACGATGAATAATCTGTCGATACCTTTTGTATACCCAAACGTGTTGTTGCTTATTCATGCGGCTCAGGACGAAGTGGGAGAAGAAGACGAGCAAGCGGAGAGCGTTCGTGCTGTGGCAGCCAAAGTGGTAGACAATGTGGTAAAGTTGGCTTCTGAGGCAGCACAAGAAGCCAGCTACGGAAACAGTAGCTCCTCCTCTCCTTTGAAAAAAAGTAGAGGTTGCGGTTTACAGGTGAGTGCCTCTTTTATCTGTGCTTCCCTACTAACAGATTGTTATCTATCTAATATGTGTTCTTTCCTACTAACAGATTATTATCTACCTAATATCTGTGCTTCCCCACTAACAGATTATTATCTACCTAATATCTGTGCTTCCCCACTAACAGATTATTATCTACCTAATATCTGTGCTTCCCCACTAACAGATTGTTATCGACCTAATATCTGTGCTTCCCACTAATTGCCTATATCTGTGTTTCCCCAATAACAGATTGTTATCGACCTAATATCTGTGCTTCCCCACTAACAGATTGTTATCGACCTAATATCTGTGCTTCCCCACTAACAGATTGATATCGACCTAATATATGTGCTTTCCCACTAACAGATTGTTATCGACCTAATATCTGTGCTTCCCCACTAACAGATTGTTATTGGCCTAATATCTGTGTTTCCCCAATAACAGATTGTTATCGACCTAATATCTGTGCTTCCCTAATAACAGATTGTTATCGACCTAATATCTGTGTTTCCCCACTAACAGATTGATATCGACCTAATATCTGGGCTTTCCCACTAACAGATTGTTATCGACCTAATATCTGGGCTTCCCCACTAACAGATTGTTATCGACCTAATATCTGTGTTTCCCCAATAACAGATTGTTATCGACCTAATATCTGTGCTTCCCCACTAACAGATTGATATCGACCTAATATCTGGGCTTCCCCACTAACAGATTGTTATCGACCTTATATCTGTGTTTCCCCAATAACAGATTGTTATCGACCTAATATCTGTGCTTCCCCACTAACAGATTGTTATCGACCTAATATCTGTGTTTCCCCACTAACAGATTGTTATCGACCTAATATCTGTGTTTCCCCACTAACAGATTGATATCGACCTAATATCTGTGCTTCCCCACTAACAGATTTATCTACCCTAATATCTGTGTTCCCCACTAAAGATTGTTATCGACTAATATCTGTGCTTCCCCCCACTAACAGATTTAAATATCTGTGTTTCCCCAATCTGCTTCCCACTAACGATTGTTATCGACCTAATATCTGTGCTTCCCCACTAACAATTGATATCGACCTAATATATGTGCTTCCCATAACAAAATTGTTTTATCGACCTAATCTGTGCTTCCCCACTAACAGATTGTTATTGGCCTAATATCTGTGTTTCCCCAATAACAGATTGTTATCGACCTAATATCTGTGCTTCCCCAATAACAGATTGTTATCGACCTAATATCTGTGTTTCCCCACTAACAGATTGATATCGACCTAATATCTGGGCTTTCCCACTAACAGATTGTTATCAACCTAATATCTGGGCTTCCCCACTAACAGATTGTTATCGACCTAATATATGTGCTTTCCCACTAACAGATTGATATCGACCTAATATCTGTGCTTCCCCACTAACAGATTGTTATTGGCCTAATATCTGTGTTTCCCCAATAACAGATTGTTATCGACCTAATATCTGTGCTTCCCCACTAACAGATTGTTATCGACCTAATATCTGTGCTTCCCCTCTAAGAAATTGCATCTGAAATGAGAGATTTTTTTAGTTTTTTTCTAGTTTAATATAAGCTTATCTTATTGACTGAAATGACATTTGCTGCTAAGACGAATTGTAAATTTACTGCAACAGCTGCCAGTCGCAGAAGCTGTCTGTACTCTCATCAGATGCTTAGGCAGAGTTACAGGCATAGTTCTACTGAAAATTTATAAATTTGGTGACAACTGACAGTTACAAATTTAATCCTAATGCCAACAACAATCATTTGCGAATTTAACTCTACCGTCGTCAGTTATCAAGCTAGTTAGAGATGTAATTGTGCTGCCAATACATACAAATTTAATTGTATAGTCAACCGCTTAGAATTCCAAATATCTGTTGCCATCAGCAACTATTTACAAATTTAGCTGTGTTGCCGAACAATCAAGTTCAACTTGTTATACCAAGTAGAAATTTAGTGGTACAGATAACATGATTATAGTACTATTATCATTTATTTTCTTATCAACGATGAAATAAACGTATTTTGATTTTAAAAAAGGAAAACGTATAATTTCAGATTTATTTCTTTTATGAAGGGAAATTCTTACGGCAAAGTTTAGAGGTTTTCAGTTGTGGGTTGTTTCTTCAAGATATTCTTAGTATGAAAATATAAATCTGCAATTTTAATTCCATTACCAAAATTGTACACTTCTATGGATTTTAAATGGCAGTCGTTAAAGTTGAAGAATGAAATTAAAAAGACTGCGCATGTCTGGAAGTGTAATAGAAGGTGACATCTGATAAGCAATTTCTTAGATATAACTACATAAAATTTTGAGACTGAATTTTATAAAAAGCTAATATTTTTATGCTAATAAAAATTTTTAATAAATTTGAGCTAAATTTGTCCAAAATTTAACTTTAATTGAAGAACCACTGGAATTTCTTTTCGAAGAATGGCTATAAAACACGGATACAAACATATTGGCATAGACGAAGTTAATCTAAAGTGCAACTAAATAAGTACATTTATTAATATATTCACCCGTACAAAATGAATAACATATGTTACGGTGAAACACCGAAATCTGGAGAATGTCAACATTCACATAGTCGCTTGGTGTATGCCCGAAAAATTTTCCAAATACTCTTATTTCTGACTTACTCCGGTGAATGTTGAACATATAAGAATATTATATTTCCTTCTCCGTAATTCATTCGCGAAAAAACGCACTTGAGACTCAGAATAAGAACTTAAGAATATAAGAACTTGAAACACACAGTACATTCAAAATGAGAAAGAAAAATAATAGAAGTTATAAACTTACCAAATTATGTGATTCAAATCTTATTTATTGCAACACTTAAACTATTATGACACTTTAATTGCACAAAAGGCCCTTGCTTTTCACAACTGCATTTATTTGTGGAACACTTCCTTTTGGAATGGCCGCGTGTACATATACTCCTCTCTTTTCGACCTACACCAGAGCATATCTGTGAGTGTCGAAATACACCGGTGAGGATCCGAATGTACAAGAATGTAAAGAAATATTCGATCGATTTGGTGAATGTTGATATTCTCTGGTGAAAGTCGACATTCTCCAATTTCGGTTTTTCACGGTAACATATACATTAAACACTGGTAGTTTAGTTCAGTTCACTGCCTGGCGGACAGGATGGCTCAAAAGCATTATGTGATACCCCGCATAATGAATTAGCATTTGTTGAACCAGTAAATGAATATTTTAAATTGTAACTGAATGTAATAAAAGGTTCTAGGGTACCAAGGTTCAATGCATTTTTTGCATGTTACATTTTAGCATGTAACATGACCGACAATGATTGCAACAAGACGCCACTGGAGAAAACATCCTTTGTCCAAAATTTTTGGTTGATTATGTTTTATTCTAGATATTTCTTGTTAAAATCCGAATAAAAGCAACTGAACCGCTTTTATTATTTACTCGCTAATTGAAATATTTATTCCTCCATTGGTAACAGAGTTCATAATTAAATTCTTTGGCTGTCAGCTTTAAACGTAAACGTAAAAATATACTTGCTATTCATTAAACAAGCAACTAATTAACGCATTCTTGCTATCTGGTTGCTTGGTGACGAGATTAGTCTGTTTCCGATAAAATGTAATTTTATCCTATCCCGGTCTGACAGTAAAAGAATATTTTAATATTGTCATAGATACGTGCGTTGCTATTACGCGTAATGTTTTCCAAATGTGAATTATTCTATTTCTCACTGTAAACTATTCCTTCATTCTCTGTACCCCTGAGGATGTTAATTTCAACGCTGAGTGCCTGTTTAATTAAATCAATTACGATGTGTTATGCTCTTAAATTTAGCTTAAAGTAGATGTAGAATATGGACTAGGAACTAAATGTAATTAAAACCTTTACTAGCAACCTATGCTGTTAGAAAGATTAAAAAGTAATTAAAAATAAAAATATCTGCAGTTTGAACTTTAGTGACCATATGCAGAAATACTTATAATGTTAATAAATATCTTAAATTATTTACAGATCTTCAACAGGCATCGTTTATGCTCGAAGGATTTCAAACTAAACTTTTACTAAATTGAATAATCTTTTTTATATTAAAGAAAACTTCTCTAGCAATAAATACATCACTAACCTTAGATCGTAGACATAGACCTCCAAAAACTATATGGTCGCCACAGTCCTTTTAGTTATTATTTCGTAAAATTGTATACTTATAACATCCAATAAAAGAATTTGCTTCCTTAAAATAAAAATTTATCGAGATATTTAATTCAAAATTTGGAAATTTTGCCATCTTTAAGGCTTTTTATTTTAAGAGACCGTTCAAAAATAAATTAAAAGAATTCCCTATTGACTTCTTCCTTCTTTAATCTTATTTTGTGGTATTATTTTGTCATTTACTAAAGTGTAACATTAGATGCCAAAAGAATTTTCACACAATTGATTTTTAAATTTTCAAATGCTACAATTACGTTATTAATATTTCTCCTATAGTTTTATTGTTTTAGAATCATAAGCAAATTATCTAAAATAGCAACTGAAACTTGAAAAAGGTGTAAAAGACTCTTTTATTTAAAACTCAAAAGAAAAAAAGTTACGAGCTCGTACAAATTAATCGTACAAATTTCAATAACAGGAAATATATTTCATTTTTATTTATGCATTTTATGTCACACGTTGGTTATGAGACAGTACTGAAGCCTGTAACTGTGTTCTAGAACTTCAATTCCATAAGATTCTGCGAAAAAAATTCCTTTTCAAAAAATTATATTCGCCACTGCTTTTCACGATATTCTGCATAGCAATGTTCGTCACTTAATCTACGAAGGTCAGAAATCTCTTTCTAAATTAATATTAAATTTCTTTTAATTTTCAAAATTAATTAATTTGAAAATAATTTTTCTATTAAGAAGTACATAAGTACGGCCAACAGTTGCGAAAATAAATGCCACGTAATGTAATTTTTATGGTATAATAG